AGCAGAGTCTACAGATCCAACCCAAAAGTGAAGTTCTCTTTTTGGGCATAGAAACTTCAAAAAGCTGATAAGGGACACTGTATTTCTGTTAGGTCCTCTTGGTTGCAACTGTTCCAACTCTAGTCCATATTGAAGAAGCTATCCACGCCTTAATGATTGAACATGATGTCCATTTTTTTCCTTACAGTGTAGCTCACAAAGATCCACTGAGTTATTTTTACTGCCCTCTGTCTTATGACGCCTCCAAAGAAAATCACTCTTCCTGTAGGTCCTGGAAGTTCAATTGTCCTTTTCTGCAAAAAATACACTGTACTTTGGGCTTCCCGACAATTTGGGAATTTAAATCTACAAAAGAAGTCACATCATTTTCATGTTCACGCGGCGCTGACTTGCTGGTCCCTCTACCATATCAATATTTGTGCCGTTAGACTTTGACCTGGGAACATATTCAACATCTATGTTGTTTTTATGTTTCCCTTTTCCTCTGCTCCAAACAAACAGAAGCAGGAAGCAAAACAAAACCACTCCCAGGAAGGTGAAACAGCCCATGGCAGTTGAGACGAGAATAGTCTTGAGATCTAAACCAAGGGCCCCACCAGTCGTTCCATTGGCAGTGATGTTAGTGGGTTCTGTGTAAATCTGGGTCCTGTTGGCATACAGTGATCCAAGACTTTTTACCGCAAGAGATGTCATCAGGGTGTCATTCCCAGCAGTGTTTGAGGCAAGACAAAGGTAAACACCACTGTCTTGTACCTCTGCTGACTTTATCTCCAGTGTGCCATTCAGGTGGACAGTCACTCTACCGTGGCTCCTACTTGTCAGAAGCCGTCGGCGTGGCGACAACCAGGAGACAATGGGTCTTGGTGTGCCTTCGGCACTGCAGCGCAACATTGCCTGCTGGCCTTCATCCACAGTGATGGTCTGGGTCTTATTTTCCCGAATTTTCGGCTTGGTGCAGGTTACGTAATAAGACAGAAGGGTCTCCTTGAACTCCTTAAAGGGCCTGCCGCGGATTCCTTCTGGTGTACTACACTCTGGTTGTGACTCGCCGAAAAAAAGGGAATGCTTTTTCTGTAGGATCCACATTAGACGACAGTCGCACACTAGTGGGTTGTGATCGATCAGAAGAACCTCCAAAGCTTCAGGAGATTGAAAAACACCTTTTTCCAAAGTATCCAATCGGTTGTAAGATACATTGAGAACTTTTAGACCGCGTAAGCCCTGGAAGGCATATGGCTCAATGGAGGCCAATTGAGCGCCAACCAAATGCAGCTCTCGCAACCGTACCATCTCCATTAGCATTCCTCCTTCAATGTGCTTAATTCGATTGTAGGACAGGTTGAGGTGAGTCAGGTAGGGCAGATGCTTCAGGGCTTGGTAAGGAAAGGAGGACAAGTTGGTATGGGTGATAAAGAGCTTGGTAAGGTTCAGACCGTGCAGGGTATTGGCTGGAATGTTGTCCAGCGCTGGCCAGTTGTCAATTTCTAAATTCCGCAGCCTGAACAACTTTTTGAATGAGTAGGGATGCAAAGTGTTAATGCCCAGATAGCGCAAATGTAGACTGACCAAGTTGTGGAGGTGGGAAAGTGCCTCTGTGGGCACAACCGTAAGATTGCATCTTTCCAAGGTTAATATTTCCAGACTTAAAAGTCCACTGAATGCTCGATGTGAAATGTAAACCAGATCGTTGTCACCAACTTCCAAAAACTTGAGATTGTGCAAGTCCTGAAACATATAATCCAGAAGGATGACAATTTTGTTGTCACTCATATCCAGTCTGGTTAGATTTGTCAAACCTCCAAACACACCCAGGGGAATGAGCTTGATACGATTGCTCTTGAGACTGAGCGTGTGCATGTTAAACAGGGCATTAAATGCTCCAGGCTCAACGTAACTGATAATATTCCCACTCAGGTCAAGTTCCTCAAGGCCAGTAAAGGCAACAAAGTCATCTGGATTGATCATTGTCAGTTTGTTCTTGCTCAGGTCCAGGATCCTCGTCTCTGATGGGATTCCATCTGGAATGCTGGGCATACGCTTGCGGTGACAGACAACTGCCTTGGTCTGTGCCGAACACTCGCAACGTGAAGGACATCCCAGGGTGGAACCCACAAAGACAGCCACGAGGGCCAGCCCCAGGACTGGTTGCCAGCATGAGATAAGCGTGTGCAGCATGACTCTGCTTATACAGTCGACCATACTGTCACGGTTCTGCAAAGAAAGAGAGAAGAGAATGAAGGAGTTAAAAAGGTCACAGAAGTTACTTCATTTTATTTTATTGAGTCATGTTGTCCAAATACAATATTGCAAAATAAAACAATATTAGACATGACATGGACGAATTAATTCCGCTGGGAGAAAAAATGGCCTGGTACAACTTTTATAGTACTCTTTTCACCTCCCTCCCCACACACAGGCAGTCCGTTCTCCTGCTACTCTGTGAATTTTGAAAGTGCAGTGTTTGAACTGCGCTATTCATTAAGGCTGGTGTGAAGACAGGCTGTGCAAAGTGTACTCTGCAAGTTTTAGCAAAGATACCTTATGCTGCCAGGTGTACTTGTGTTTGAGGATAAAGCAAAGCACACATACTGCAGCAGCCTGTCTACTATAATTAGTACCTAACAAGAGGATGAAGCAAGGTCCCATGGAGTAGCAGCGAGGTAGTTTCTCCTATTTTAATCGCATGCTCTTACTTCAGACACATTACTGTAGATACAGTTAAATGCATTTTTGGTTTGATAACATTTTTATTTTGATGGGAAATGCTCCAAAACTATGAATTTATGAACGGATTAAGCTTAAATGAAAGCTCTTACATTCTGAGCAAATATTTGGCAAGGCTGTATTTGATTTGTCATTTTAAAAAATCAAGTTCCAGAGAAGGGATTTTAAGAGATGTTCTCTTCAATTCTAACAACCAAGGCTTAATAAATCCTGTGCAGTGGACCTTTAAAATAAATAAATGCTGGACTGCTAATGCCACTGTTGCATGTCAGCTAACACAGACCCAAAACAGTGTACAGTGTATTTCCCTTGTATCTTCCAGATTATTTTCATTTAAATCCTGTAACTGTCACAATAGCAACCAAGGCTGTCTGTGTGACTCGTAGAAGCATTTGATTTGATTTGATTTGATTGCAATCATTTGAAGTTTTCTGTGACATTCATTTCCTGTCTAGTGACGGTAGAAATCTTGCAACGCACAGGGAAATAAGATGGCACAGCAAAGGCATTTCTATAATGTGGCCCCTGACCCACATTAGTGCAAGGTTGGATCCTGAGAGGGGGATGATAAGAGCTAATGGTATCTGAGTCAGCGTAAATCAGTGAACAGCCATTTCACCGACGTGCTGAGGTCGCCCGCGCAATGCCGTCATGAGCGTATGTACACAAGTGGTCCCCGATGTGGACGTCAAACTTATGTAACTTTTTTTTTCCTCAAAAAAAAAAAAAAAAAAAAAAAGCATTTTCCACTACAAATGAAGTATAGTACAGTGTGGCATCCCATTTCCCTGTCCTCATCTACAGTTATATACTATACAGTGGTTGAACTTTGGCAGTGTTGCTCTAATGGACAAAACCAAGTGGGCTAAAGATCACATTTAAATACTATTGTGTCTTAACACAGGTCACTGGTGCATTAAAATGCTCCAAGAGACTTTCTAACGCTAATGCTAATTAAATGTAATTAAATCACTTTGTGGAGAGATTAACAGATCACTTAACCCAGACCTACATATAGTTCCCAGAGTATATAAGAGTAGAATTGGAGGCAGAGCTTTTAGCTTACCAGGGTCCTCACCTTTGGAAACAGCTGCCAGTGTGGCTCCAGGAGGCTGACCCCTTCTCTGTATTCAAACCTGAGTCATCCCTTGGTCCTGTTACAGGCCTACACTGCTTGGAGATCTCCCATATTGCATTGAGCACTTTCTCTACCCACTCTTAGAAACACATACACATTAAGCAGTGTCATAGCAGTAACCTTGTCTCCTATTTCTCCAATAGTTGACTACTGGAATATTGACTATTGGGATATTCAAATAAAACTGACTTTATTTGATTTAAGTTCTGTGGGTCAGGGATCAAATAAGTCCAGCCTCTGCATCATGACAAATAATGATGTTGGGTTTTTACACGATAGAACAAGAAGACTGTTATTAGCAAACATGAAGACAACACCTGTGATGGAATACATCAACAGCGTATTAGAAACTGTTCCATTCTGAGGTTTTTTTCCTGGAAATTATGAGAGACATATGCTCTTCTAAATTAAACATTTTCCCATTAACTCCAAAAATCAGATTGATGGCAAGTCGGATATGGTCTGATATTAAAAAAAGCATGGCTTCTGAAGTGGAGCATTTAAACACGAGTTAACACGGATTGAACAGCTCTTCAAAATTTTCACTTGACTAACTTCATCAGTTTATGTCCTTAAATGTGATTTTAAAAAAAAGTTAAGAAAAGAAAATGAGTCATTGAACCAATATTAAATTTGCCTCCGTTTTTTAATACTGATTTTTCTGAAAGTAATATTTTCACAGGTGCCTGTTTTTCAGGCTCAGTCCATCTTTAATCCACACTTTTCAGTGATGAAAACAGATTTTCTGTTTTCATCTCAGCTTAATTACCAATTACAGAAAACACGGCGCTATTCATTGCAGCCCTGATGCTAAAATGTCTGTGGATGTGCAGAGATATGAAATCTTCCTTCCCTGCAGTGTGACTGCTGTAAGGTGTTAGTCAAGGTAAACCTCGCAAAAACATCTTTAAAATTACAATTATTTATAATTTAAACATTTAAAAAGGTATATATGAGATACATTTTTACTACATTTATTTTATTTTCATTCCCTGTAGCTGCTGTGGCTTTGTGCAGCTTTTAGCACCGGAGCCATGAAGTGGTGATGAAGAAAATAAATTCACCATTTTTTTACTTTTGTATCTCACGCCTGGATCTAGAGGTTGGAGTGGAGGTAGTGTCTGTATATAACCGATAACAATCACTCCACAGGCAGTGAAGTGACATCTTATCTCACTTATTGCTTCATTTCTGTCTTTATCTTTCTCTCACTTGTTCCTTTTTCTTTTCAGCACATTTTATTTTAAATACTTACTCTGTGTTGACTCGAACCAGACAGAAAATTCTGTTACTGTGTTTAACGCCCTCTGTGCCGTTCTATGTCTCACACTACTGTTGAGACTCTAGTGTGACAAACACAGACAGAGTGTAAAATTAACAAAACTATTACTTTAATATTTTAATATAACTTTAGTAAGAATATGAACATGAATCTGTAAATGTGTACAGAGTGAGATGGTGGAAATTGAATCAACTGTCATAGAATATCTGCCATATTAATTGGCTGAAAAATTACATGATTAAATGATTACATTTACTTGACTACTTTTAGGATTTTTGCTATTTCTGGACTTTTCCTTATTATTCTAAAAAAAGCAGTGGATTTATGATTTTTTTTTTCTGTGAACCAATGAACAAAAGCCAATGCGCAAAAACAGCACCAATTTCCCAAACTTTTATATGTTGTCTTATACTGTATATATCCTTTCATATTTGTCTCCTTTTAGTTATAAAGAATGACGACAATAAAAACAAACGCCTGCATGTGGATTTCAGTTCCATATGTTTTCCTGTAGAATCCTCTGAGTTTCAGCTGCCCGAATCTCTCAAGACAGTACAGTTTCTAATTGGAGTCAATTAAATCAGGCAATCATGGGTCACTTTTACTCATCAGTGTCTCCCCCCCTGCTGGGCAGTGAGTAGAGTGAACACCCACTACTCATGTTTCATTTTAAATTATTTACCGAATAATTAGCCCTGCAGCTCCAACTTAAAGTGAATGAAATTATGTTAAACGATAAATTAAATCACTAACCGAAAGACCTTGCTGTAATATGGTAAGTCAGCAGTGTGGGAGATATGATCAAATATAAGTATGTGCTGAAGTATAGCATAGAAAACCACTGGAGATAAAAGCACATGGAAATCAGAAAGAAAGAAGTTGAGGTTGTAGTTTTAGGTAACAGCCAAGGGTTAGCTGAAAAGCTGCACAAAAATAATAAAGTGAAACAATATGGTTCATATCAAATGAAAATATTATGTTTATCAAAAAAAATCACTAAATATAAATGTAGTAAAACAGCAATGTTCAATTGACTAAAAGGTTACCAATATTTACCCTACCAGTTGAAAAAGTTAGACATTTTCTTAAATTTGGCAAAATGAAAAGTATAAGAGTTTGAATAAAACCAAACATTTCCAACAATGGCAAGGTGGATCTACCAGTAAACTGCAATAATTTACAATATATACTGTATAATTCTATAGTGTGTACTTGTCAAAATGTACTATGTAAATATAATGATATTATACCATTCAGCTACATGCATCTATATATAATGTATGCTGAGTATATATAAATGTAGGTAGATGACTCTAGTCTGGTCCTTCTTGAATAGCAAAAAAAAAAAAAAAAAAAGCCAAAAAATTGTGAAGCCCCCTGATCTACAGTTTCTCCTGACACAGACACAGTATTGAGTCCAATCAAACATGCAGTGACTGACCTATTGACAGTGCTAGAAACCAACACAGATTTCATACATCTTCAAAGTCAAGCAACTGACTTTTTTTGAGGGTTAAGTTTACACGTCCAAACCGCTGGAAAGCCACTTTATATTGTGTCCATGTAGTTCCAGGATTAAGATAACAGATTAGCCTCTGTGCAATCAACCAATAAAACTGAAATTGGTTTGCCTTATTCTCCTGGGTGAAAAAGTTTTTTTTTTTTAGGCTGTGTTTGATGTGTGCCCCAGACACCGATCATCGAAACATAATGTGATTCCTCTACACCCAGCAAAATGCCTTCCTGCCTTTGTGATGAATGGTGGGAGCCAGTTGCTTACTCTACCCAGCAATTATCAACAGCCCTTCAGCATAATCAAAGCGTCAAAGTATGACTGGGAAGATGGCTCCGGAGGAAATAGCACTTTAAAAGGCAGAGAGAAAAAACAGAAGAAAATTAACTTTCAGCTGGAGAAAAAGCCGCAGGAGAACCAGAGCTGTGTGAGGAATAAAAGCAATAATAAAATGAACATTATGTGTAATCACGCAGGGAGAGAGTACTACATACTGTGGGCTGCAGTTTTTGTTCTTCTCTTTTTTTTTTTTTTTAGATTTTTTATACGAAAGC